GTGACAGAGCAAGACTCCATCTCAAAAAAATAAATACATAAATAAAAGTTTTTTTGAAAAAAGATATAAAACCACTTTTGCTGTAAGAAAGACAAGAAATTCTGACATAAGAAAGAAGAGTTGGTTGTGACTATTTGTTTCTGCATTAAAAACCCCAAGAGACATTTGCAGTATTGAACAGATTCAAATATGAAGGGTTTTCAAAGTTTTGATCTAGTATCTCATGGCTTTGTGGTTAATATTTGTGGAAAGGTTGTGTTCTGAGTCCTTCATTTCAAGGGTATGTTAAAAAAAAAAGAGAGACTGCTGAGGCTGGGCACAGTGGCTCACGTCTGTAATCTCAGCACTTTGAGAGGCTGAGGCAGGTGGATCGCCTGAGGTCAGGAGTTCGAAACCAGCCTGGCCAACATGGTGAAACCCCATCTCTACTAAAAATACAACAACAAAAACATTAGCCAGGCATGGTGGCACACGCCTGTCATCCCAGCTATCCAGGAGCCTGAGGCAGAAGAATTGCTTGAACCTGGGAGGCAGACGTTGCAGTGAGCCATGATTGTGCCATTGCATTCCAGCCTGGGCAACAGAGCAAGACTCTGTCTCCAAAAAAATAAAAATGACTGCTGAAGAAAAGAAGGCATTATGACAATAGTACAACTTAGCTGTGCTCCGTCCCCCAATAAGGGTCCAGAAATAGTACTTACTGGAATTCTTCGTGATAAATGTGGTACGCCAAACGCAGGAGGTGATTCAAAAATGTTCTCAGAAGTATTGTTGTAAATGGAGAATGAATTTCTTCAACTGGTATGTCCTTGTTGGCTAAAATAAGAAAATTGGAGAGGATGTCTGATATTTGCTAGAAGCTTCCATTTTATTTGTTCCTGGTATACAATTTGAGGAACTGAATATGAGAGAGTACTTATTTCAAAATGCTCTGAACATGTATAAGCATCCAACTAAAAATTTAAAACTCCATAAAAGCCAGGCACAGTGGCTCACGCCTGTAATCCCAGTACTTTGGGAAGCTGAAGCAGGCAAATTGCCTGAGGTCAGGAGTTTAAGACCAGCCTGGGCAACATGGTGAAATCCTGTCTCTACCAAAAATACAAAAAATTAGCCAGGTGTGGTGGTGTGCACCTGTAATCCCAGCTACTCAGGAGACTGAGGCAGGAGAATTGCTGGAACTCAGGAGGCAGGACTTACAGTGAGCCAAGATTGAGTCACTGCACTCCAGCCCGGGCAACAGAGTGAGACTTCGTCTAAAAAAAAAAAAAAAATCAACCTGGTTCCTTTACAAGATGAGGTATCTTGTCCCAATGTTTTCCAGAGTAGTCTGAGACACAATCTGATGAATGATGCTAATTCTAAATGGATTTTAAGTATGTTTCAAACACTAAACTTTGACGTAAATGGGCATTTTTTCTAATACTTTATTTTTCAAGTGGATAATTTGAAGCTTGCAGCTCTGCCTCCCAGAATTTGGCTGAAAGAAGTCAAACTTCCAAAGTTGTTAAAATTTATCACATCAATTTCCTAATTTGAAATCAAGACCAATCCTAAGACTACTTAGGGCCTTTTCTAGACTCTTCCAAGCCATTGCTGATTCTCCCTATTTCTTTTTTTTTTTTTTTTTTTTTTTGAGAACAGTGTCTCACTCTGTTGCCCAGGCCTGAGTGCAGTGGTGCGATCTCGGCTCACTGCAACCTTCGCCTCGCGAGTTCAAGCAATTCTTCTGCCTCAGCCTCCCGAGTAGCTGGGACTACAGGCATGTACCACCACACCCAGCTAATTTTTTGTATTTTTAGTAGAGATGGGGTTTCACCGTGTTAGCCAAGATGGTCTCGAACTCCTGACCTCATGATCTGCCCACTTCAGCCTCCCAAAGGGCTGATTACAGGTGTGAACCACTGCGCCCAGCCTTTTTTTTTTTTTTTGTTGTTGTTGAGACAGTCTCACTCTGTCACCCAGGATGGAAATCTTGGCTCACTGTAACCTCCACCTCCTAGGCTCAAGCGATTCTACTCCTGCCTCAGCCTCCCACTAAGTAGCTGGGAATACAGGCATGAACCACCACACCTGGCTAATTTTTGTGTTTTTAGTAGAGATGGAGTTTCACCACATTGGCCAGGCTGGTCTCAAACTCCTGGACTCAAGTGATCCACCTCGGCCTTCCAAAGATCTGGGATTACAGGTGTGCGCCGCGAGGCCTGGCCGCCTACCCATTTCTGACCTGACAAGTCAGTGCTTTTTCACTGTAGATCGGTGGTCGGGGGGAGAGAGGGAGGCAAACTTTCTGTAAAGGGCCGGAGAGTAAGTATTTTAGGCTTGGTGGACCAGACAGTCTACACCACAACTCCTCCGCGGTGGTGCTTTGGGGTAAAGCAGCCACAAACATGTGAGCAAATGGGCACGTCTGTGTTCCAGTAAAGCATGATTTAGGGGAACCGGGGCGGACTGGATTTCACCCTGGGACCATGCATGGCTGGCTTTGCTTTTGTAGGTGACCTCGTACTGTTGCTGTTATGTCACGAGACTGTCTCTTCAAGTACATTGTAATCACGGGGGGAACAAGACCACGTGCTGATTTCTGGAACACTCTTCTCCCAACCTGGGCCTTTACCACTCCCTCCGCATTTCCAACTGCTTTCCAGGTGACACTGTGATATTGTCCTTTAAATCAGCGGTCCCCAGCCTTTTTGGCACCAGGGACCGATTTCGTGGAAGACAATTTTTCCATGAATGGTGGGAAGGGGTGGGGGGACTACTGGTTTCAGGATGATTCAAGCGCATTCAAATTACTGCACCCTTTATTTCTATTACAATGACACTGTAATACATAATGAAACAATTCTACAACTCACCATCATATAGACTCAGTGGGAGCCTGAGCTTGTTTTCCTACAACTAGGGGTGACGGGAGACAGCGACAGATCATCAGGCACTAGATTCTCCTAAGGAGCGTGAACCTCCATCCCTCGCGTGCCAGTTCACAGGAGGATTTGCGCTCCTGTGAGAATCTTAACGCCCTGCTGATCTGCAGGAGGTAATGCCAGCGATGGGGAATGGCTGTAAAAACAGATGAAGGTAGGCCAGGTGCGGTGGCTCATGCTTGTAATCCCAGCACTTTTGGAGGCCGAGGCGGGCAGATCATGTGAGGTCTGGAGTTTGAGACCAGCCTAACCAACGTGGAAAAACCCCATCTCTACTAAAAAATACAAAAATTAGCTGGGCATGGTGGCACATGCCTGTAATCCCGGCTACTATGGAGGCTGAGGCAGGAGAGTCACTTGAACCCAGGAGGCGGAGGTTGTGGTGAGCCGAGATCCTGCCACTGCACCCCAGCCTGGGCAACAAGAACGAAACTCTGTCTCAAAACAAAACAAAACAAAAAAAACAGATGAAGGTTCACTTGCTTGCCCACGGCTCACCTTCCACTGTGCACAGTTTCCTAACAGGCCACGGACCAGTACTGATCCATGGCCTGGGGGTTGGGGACCCCTGCCTTTTGTGTGTGTGTGTGTGTGATGGAGTCTTGCCCTGTTGCCCAGGCTGGAGTGAAATGTCGTGATCTCGGCTCACTGCAACCTCCGCCTCCTGGGTCCAAGCGATCCTCCCACCTCAGCCTCCTAAATGGCTGGGATTACAGGCATGCACCACCACGCCTGGACAATTTTTTGTATCTTTTAGTAGAGATGGGGTTTCACCACGTTGGTCAGGCTGGTCTCAAACTCCTGACCTTGTGATCCGCCTGCCTCGGCCTCCCAAAGTGCTGGGATTACAGGCATGAGCTGCTGCACCCAGCCTGCACCCCTGCTTTAAACCAAAAGATGTGAAGGATCTGGAATACTCACCACTTAATATCCTGTCCATATCAGCAAGAGTTAGTCTGTGGTGATGAAATTTGCAATCTTTTAGAAATCTCCAGAAGTGAAGCTTTGTCATCAGAAAGGTATTATCCAGAGAGTGGTCGCATCCCAGGCTGCTATAAAAGCTGTAGATTCTTCTTAATTCTGTAATATTTCTTAACACAGCATATTCTACCTGAAAGGAAGAAAGTCATGCGTGGATTAAGAACAAAAGACGGCCAGGCACGGTGGCTCACGCCTATAATCCCAGCACTTTGGGAGGCCGAGGCAGATCACCTGAGGTCAGGAGTTCCAGACCAGCCTGGCCAACATGGTGAAACCCCATCTCTACCAAAAATACAAAATTAGCCGGGCGTGGTGGCAGGCGCCTATAACACCAGCTACTCAGGAGGCTGAGGCAGGAGAATTGCTTGAACCCGGGAGGAGGAGGGTGCAGTGAGCCAAGATCACATCACTGCACTCCAGCCTGGGCATCAAGAGTGAGACTCTGTCTCAAAATAAATAAATAAAATTTAAAAATTATAAAAAGAACAGCCAGGCACGGTGGCTCACACTTGTAATCTCAGCACTTTGGGAGGCTGAGGCAGGCGGATCACGAGGTCAGGAGATCGAGACCATCCTGGCTAACAGGGTGAAATCCCGTTTCCACTAAAAATACAAAAAATTAGCAGGCGAGCAAGACTCCGTCTCAAAAAAAAAAAAAAAATTAAAAAAGAACAAAAGACACAACACCTGTGTCCTACATTAAATGCGATAATACAAGTAAAGTAATGGCATTTAGCTCTTTCCACTGTAAGGACTTAAGAAGTGTTTTTTTGTTTTGTTACGAGATGGAGTCTCGCTCTGTCACCCAGGCTGGAGTGCAGTGGCAAGATCTTGGCTCACTGCAACCTCTGCCTTCTGGGTTCAGGCGATTCTCATGCCTCAGTCTCCAGAGGAGCTGTGATTACAGGTGTACACCACCATGCCCAGCTAGTTTTTGTATTTTGGTAGACATGGGGTTTCACCATATTGGCCAGTCTGCTCTTGAACTCCTGACCTCAGGCGATGCGCCTGCCTCGGCCTCCCAAAGTGTTACAATTACAGGCATGAGCCACGGTGCCCGGCCAAGAAGCATTTTATTCTTTCCACCCACCCGCCTTGGTCAATAAAATGCCATCTCCGACCAACAGTAAAAACAAAACAAAACAAACAAGTTATCTGGAAAACAGACTTCCTTTCACACGGCATGTGCTGGCTTCCGCTCTCAGTGGCGGCAACAAAATTCTACTGTCTGCAGATCCTTATTCCTCATCAACACATGTGCGAAAATCCTCAACAACATAACTGGAATCCAGCCATATATAAAGAATAGTAGCCATGCGTGCTGGCTCATGCCTGTCATCCAGCACCTTGTGAGGCCAAGGCGGGAGGATCGCTTGAGCCTGGGAACTCGAGACCAGCCTGTGCAACACAGTGAGACCGTGTCTCGACTGAAAATTAAAAATTAAAGAAATTAACCAGGCACAGTGGCGAGTGCCCATATAGTCCCAGCTACTCAGGAAGCTGAGGCAGGAGGATTGCTCGAGCCCAGAAGCTCAAGACTGCAGTGAGCTGAGATCGCACCACTTCACTCCAGCCAGGGTGACAGAGCAAGACCCTATCTCGAAAAGAAAAAAAAAAAAAAAGATAATACAGCAACACCAAGTAGGGTTTAGTCTAGAATTGCAAAGTTGGTTCACATTTGAAAAATCAATCAATGTAATTCACACTATTGACAGACTAGAGAAGAACCAAATGATTCTATCAGCTGAAGCATTTCAAAGAATTTAACATTCATTCATGATAAGCACCCTCAGCAAATTAGGAATAGAAAGGAATCCCTCAGCCTGATCAACAGCATGTACGAAACATGCAACTCACATCACATGTAGGGCTGAAAGTCTGAAAGAAGCAAAATTCCGCCATGTGCGGTGGCTCACGCCTGTAATCCCAGCACTTTGGGAGGCCGAGGTGGAAAGATCACCTGAGGTCAGGAGTTGGAGACCAGCTTGGGCAACATGGTGAAACTCCATCTCTACTAAAAATACAAAACATAGCTAGGCGTGGTGGTGCGTGCCTGTAATCCCAGCTACTCAGGAGGCTGAGGCAGGAGAATCGCTTGAACCCAAAAGCCGAGATCATGCCATTGCACTCCAGCCTGGGCAACAAGAGGGAAACTCCATCTCAAAAAAAAAAAAAAAAGCAGCAATATTCATGCTGGTTGCTTTACTCACCTCCCTCTCTGTCACATTTCACCTTTTAGGATTTTCCCCAGACCCTTCATGCCCTTAAGCTGCTCCAAATTCCCCACACAGGCAGCCCTGCCCTCCGCACAGCGTCCTGTTCTCCAGAACCACTCACCCCATGCCCTACCCTCTTCAATGAGACACTCAGAGAACGCGAAGAACAGGATTTGGGGTCCCAAGGGAGACAGGCAGCCCTGCCCTCTGCACAGCATACACATCTCCAGAACCACTCACCCCATGCCCTACCCTCTTCAATGAGACACTCAGAGAACGCGAAGAACAGGATTCGGGGTCCCAAGGGAGACAGGAAGCCCTGCCTGGGCAGCTTCAGGCATCTGTTACACTGAACATTAATTCCTGCTTTTGAAAATGCAGTTCAATTGAATAAACATGTATCATCTGCCTGATCTAAAGCACTGTTCTAGGCTGGGCGTGGTGGCTCACACCCATCATCCCAGCGCTTTGGGAGGCTGAGGCAGGTAGATCACCTGAGGTCAGGAGTTCCAGACCAGCCTGGGCAATATGGTGAAACCCCGTCTCTACCAAAATACAAAAAAATAGCCAGG